TTTAAAGATTTATCTACTAATAATAAAACATAGAATATTCTGGTATTTCTTGGAAATTAGTTTAATTTTAATAATCATTTCCCCCTCCCGCCCTGAGGTTTGCTCTATCTATTTATCCCTCTCTTTCACTGAACTCTCCTAGCTTTTCCCATATTTTTGTAATACTCATTAGCAAGTTAAGTATATTCATTTTAGATAATGTTCCGTACTAAAGTACTTAGATTTTAAATCAACTTACTAAATAATATATTATATTAAATAATATTACCTAAACAGGTTGATTGCATTGTGGATAAATACTAACCTGATTTACAGATGCACATTGATTTAATCTATTAATCAAATATTGTATTATATTTACATTTATTGAGGATACCTCTTTGTTAACATTTATTATGAAAATATATAGAATGAATTACAAGAAAAAAGAACTTATTGAAAAACCAGAATGTTATATATATCTTTTTATATTTCAGACATTATGTATAGGTATATTTTCCTTATAGGTGCACTCAATGCGATTTGCCACTGCTTGGAAAATGGATTGGCCCGGACTCCTCCAATGGGTTGGTTGTCCTGGGAGCGGTTTCGATGCAACACAGACTGTGCAAATGATCCCGACAATTGCATAAGGTATGTCCAAAGCATTTTCTTTAAATGTAATTTGTGGTTTAGTCAATTCTGACATTAAATTTATTGACTGATTGTTTAAAGAGGACTTTATAAACAAACGAGGAGAAGAAATTAAGGGAGCGTTAATTAATTGTAATTTCTGGATAAACGTTTAGATATTGTGATGTATAATCTTTCAATGATGCTGACGTTGCTTACTATTTCTAATGGATTATTAGAAGAAGTATCACAGTTAGAAATTTTGTAGTTAGTAATTTGATTCTACTATGTTTTATTTCTATTATTTCTTTTAATGATTTTATTTATTTCTTTTAGTGAGCGACTATTTCAAGTAATGGCTGATCTGCTCGTTACGGAGGGCTATGCTTCAGTGGGTTATGAGTATGTGAATATTGACGACTGCTGGCTGGAGAGGCGCCGCGACATAGATGGCAAGCTCTTAGCCGATCACAAGCGATTTCCTAGTGGCATAAAAGCCTTATCAGATTACGTATGTATAACGCTTACTTAGCATCTTTCGTATACCAAAATATACCTAAAATATATCTTATTTTACTACTAAGAACTTCGGTATCTAATATCTCATCCTACCAAACTAATGTCTATAAATTTACACAACACAATAATTATGATTACATTTTCAATATTTTCAGATTCATTCGAGAGGCTTAAAATTCGGCATTTATGAGGACTATGGCAACTTCACATGCGCTGGTTATCCCGGCATCATTGGCTATGAGGAAACCGATGCGCTTCAGTTTGCCGAATGGGATGTCGATTATGTGAAATTGGATGGCTGCTATGCCTTGCCCTATGACATGGATCGAGGGTATACGCAGTTCGGCAGATTTCTGAATAGGACTGGAAAGGCAATGGTCTACTCGTGCAGCTGGCCCGTTTATCAGATCTATGCGGGCATCCAGCCCAATTTTTCGGCTATTCAAACGCATTGCAATCTCTGGAGGAACTTCGATGATATTCAAGATTCGTGGGCATCGGTTGAAAATATTATTGATTACTATGGAAATAATCAGGATTTGATAGCGCCTAACGCCGGACCCGGGCACTGGAATGATCCTGATATGGTAATTACTTTAGGAAATGATGAATTCGGGAACTTATAACTTTTTATACTCTGTTTATTATATCTAGTTAATAATCGGAAACTTTGGTCTCAGCTACGAACAGGCAAAAACCCAATTCGCAATTTGGTCAATTTTAGCAGCTCCTCTTTTAATGTCAGTGGACTTAAGGACAATTCGACCAGAGTTTAAAGAAATTTTACTCAACCGCAAGATCATTTCTGTGGATCAGGATCCGTTGGGAATACAAGGCCGAAGAATCTATAAGCATAAGGGAATTGAAATTTGGTCAAAGCCGATAAGTCCAGTATATCAGAATTTCTACTCCTACGCGCTCGCCTTCATAAATAGACGAACCGATGGTACACCCTCTGATATTTCAGTTACACTAAAGGAATTGGGTCTTATCAATAATTATGGATATCGGGTTGAGGTAAATCGCATAATATTATTCAAACAATTTATAAATTATATAAATATTTTATGCATTTGCATATATTTCTTCCTTTCATTTCAGGATCTTTATGAGAATATTAACTATGGTATATTGTTTCCGAAAACTAAAATCAAGGTTAAGGTAAATCCTTCGGGAGTAGTTATGTTGAAGGGCGAAACTCAAAATATAAACCAGTTTTAGCTTGTTTGTGTTTTTAAAAAAATGTAAAAAGTCAAGTATAGAGTAGCCTGCATAATACTCATTCACGTTGCGCACACAGCTCAAATAACAAATACATTTAAATATGTAGAAATTTGCGGATTTGCCACGCCTCTAATGAGCCATATATGTACATATACATAGCTCTATCACTAGATGATATTAAAAGTGATCTAACTTTTTCAATCGCTTTTTCATCAATCTATATAATATTCTTGACTAATTGTGGGACTCTTCCTATTGAATCGGTGGAAGATAAGATTTTTAACTGTCCAAATGGGCAAAGCTATGTGCAATATATATATTTTTCTGGGATGGGAATACACAAGAGTACATATGTAGATTTTAAATACCACGTAATCGAGCTGCAATTTAGCCGAAAAAAATCACGTTTATGGGTAAAGGTTATAGTATTTCCCGATTAGCCAAGCTTCTGAAATACATTTCCGACATAGAGAATGAATGATAACTAATATAATATAATACTATAATTGGCTTATATTAGAATTTGGGATTTAAAATTCAAATTTAGTGTATTTCTAAAATTACTTTAAAAAAAAATCAAATTCGGTTTAGAAATCATTTAACAATTAGAGCATTCTCTCCACACAAAGAATTGTAAAATAATGAATACAAAAACGGAATTTGTTGCAATAAATAAGACTAAATATATAGCATATATCTAAATAATAATATAATCTAGCAGCAAAGCCTTGAAAAATGGCACTGCTTAATAATAATTGAAATTAGGACTCCTAGAAATAAATATTAATTGTTGTTGTGAATAAATAAACTTGAAAATAAAAATAGACAAACTCTTGAACTATTCTTTACTAATTCTAAGCATATGTTAAACTATGCTAAAATAAGATTTAAAAAATTGAGAGTGCCTACTTTTGGGCAGGTCTTTAATGTATAACAATATCAAATTTATGTGGGATTTCACTTTAATAATATACAATGATTTTTCGTTTAGAGTCCATAGAATATTTTTGCCTTCCATATGCAATGAATTTATTGTATGAGACAGACAAAAACTATTTATTTCATTATTATTCATGACTTGTTTCTAGTATAGACATATTTATTCAGTTCAATGCTATTTACTTGGAAAATTACAATAGTACTTAATACATTCATACAGTATACAAAAATGCAAATATTGAAATATTTGAAAATTTCGATTTTTATTTGATAGTCATTAATCAAAAGTGTATATTTATATATATATATATTAATCTTTATGGGAATGGGATGTAATTGAGAAGTCTAGCCGTAGAAGAACAATGGTAAGTAGAAAAATAATATAAATAAATCCAATAACTAGGAGTGGCTCTTGAAGCAGCGATACCTTTGAGAACTTATACTTGAGAGTGAACTCTGCAATATGATTTTCTACCAAATTACTTTGCGAAAATGAAATAACTGGACGTCCCACAGTATCCAGATAGGTGTGAACCAATGAGTTTGGTCGCCGCTCAATACTATATGGTGGTTCAAGCTTGATATTCGACGAGCCCTCCGGCAATATAATAGTTATGACAGCTTCATCAATCACCATGTTATCGTGTATATGGTCAATGACATACATCTTAAGGACATAATCGTCGTCGGAGTTATACAGATATTCATAGGAGGGCACATTGTACCCGAGCACGTATTGCGTTTTCCATCCACCAAATAATGGGAAGCGGGGACGCAGGTCGAGTTCAACAGAATCACGCATTTGATTCATATTTGAGGTAGAGATGTTGCCATTGGTATCGCGGTAATAGACACCAGTTGCCGATGCCGGTAAGTAGGTTCGGTAAGACTTGACAGCCGATTGGCCAGAACGACCATCTTTTTGGAAATCATAACGCGAAAAGGATCCTTTCAATTTTGCACCAGTGTGCGTCATTTGAATTTCCTCCTTCACAGCAATGTTGCCCCAGTGTGAAACTTCAATTGTGCGCTCCAACGTGTTCACAGTCAAAAACGGAGATTGGTTCTCATAGTGCACGAACAGCTCGTCATCAGTCAACTCTGTTTAATTCGATTTCAAGTTAATCCTAGCAACATAATTGAATATAAGGATATTACTTACTTGCGACATTTTCGTACGGGCCATAAGATATTTTATTCGACATTACTGCAAATGGTCTAACCTGTGTATGCGCAATTATATTGGACGAGCTAAGTTGAACGTTAAGTCTTTGCGTTTGTGTTAGATAGTAGGAATAGTAATAAAGACCACCAACATATTTGACCAACTGTTTATCATTCTGTTTGATTTCCGATGGATAGGGCAGTATATTTTTGGTTGAAACTGTTTCAATGAGTAAAGTTTGTTGCGGGGCATTTGATGCAAATGTTATTTTATATCTTGTTAAACCGTTCTCCTTCTCTTTTCTTTCCTCAATTGTGGGTCTCTTATTGAATCCATCTTTGACTGATATAAAAGACAGATTTGGATCTTTTACAATGAATTCGTACTCCTTCAATGGTTTGCCGGCTGTCTCCTCAACTTGTATTTTATATGATGTTTTTACGAGCTGAGAAGCTATATCCAAATTTCTTTCCACATTTTTATTTACAATTTCTGCCGTTATCGGATTTATAATTAAACATATTAATGTAACATAAAACAAAATCCAATTCGTCTCCATTTTTATCCCACAATATTTCTGACACGTAATGCTAAAACATGTGCAGGATTATTTAGTGTATTTTAAAATACCAAATTCTTGCTCACTGAACAGTATCCAAATGCCGGCTTTTGTATTTTTAGTTACATCTTATGACTACTTTGGACAAATCATTTGCGCCAAGCTAGCGTCACTTACTTTGTATTGAATATTGGAAGCTATTCCACAAGAGTAAATAAAAAATGATTTGCTTGTTCTTTGGTAGATATATTTCTGATTGTATAAATTAATAATTTACAAAATCATAAATAAAAACAAAAAACATTAAAAAACTACACAATAAAGCCGATTGGCTGGAGCTTAAGTAACACTCGTATTTCTAGTGAATATCTGAAAGATTTTAATCTGCCGTTTCCGCAGATGTATAATACAAAATCAACAATTTTCCCGGTCTTTTGCATTAAATTGTCATTTTGAGTGCAATTTATCGCATGTCAAAAGTATCAACCTTTAACGATAAGTATGTAAAGAGGGCTATCCACAGACGAGTTTGTTACACGAACATGTTGTGTTCATCAAATATTCGAGTGTTCGTACGAACATTTTGTTCGCCATTTGTGTTCGCATAAAAATAGAAATGTTTCTATCTTACGGATAATCGTGAGAACATGTTCGACAATCAACTATTGTGAATTCTGAATTTTTCGGCAGTTTCTACTAGCTCAACCGTGTAGAATTTTGAAGGTTATGGAATCAGATGTCATGATCAACCGAATTTCGTTTCGCTTAAAATTAAGATCGTATGTTTTATTACAAACAGCATTATGCTAAATAAGAGCTTCAAGCATTACCAGCCCGCATTTATCGCATAGCATATATTGCAAATTGTTTACCATTTTCTTTCGCAAGACAGCACCATCATGGTAAAAAAAAATATATATATATTTACTTATTAAATAACAAGTTTAATTTTTTTATGAAAAGCGTTTTTATTTATACTTATATTAGATTTTAGATATTACAAATTTTTGATGAAGCAGACGATGAATCAGATTGATCGAAATCAATTTTTGCATATGAGCTGGTGTTCTCAAAGCAACTTGGAATTGGCGGAGATTCACATGAGACTTTCTTAAGGCAATTTGTTGCCAATTGTCCGCTACTTTGTGGAAGGTCTAAACTTGCATAATAAAGTTCATATTCGCACACGCCTGAAGGTAACTTTTTCTCATTCTTATTTTGAACACTTTCTGATACTGTCTCCTCATTTAAAATATTTGTTTCTTTTTCCTTTAACAAATTAGATTTAGTGTTTGTATTTAAAACTTGCTCTTTTTTATCCATTCTATTTACACCGTCTAGAAGATTTTGTCGACCACATTGTGGCTTATAGGATGGCCTTTGATTTTTATTCTTTGAAATTAGAGAACTATCACTTTTGATTTGCAGAATTTGGTAGCCGACATCATTTGAATCAGCTGCATTTGATTTACTTAGATTTTTCGTGTAGTCTTCGTTACTAATCGAATGTATTAATTTTCTTCCAGCTGTAGTTGCATTACTTATATCTAAGGCAAAATTTAATAGTGTGTTTTTCATTTTGGTATGCAAATCACTTTCGGGGTGGGATTTCTCAATACTTTCTGATTTCTCTGAATTGATGTTCGTTTTATATTGAGACTCTGGTAAATCTGCATTCTTTTCTGACCCTTCTGAGGAAATTTTATTATCATTGTTAGCTTCATCCCGCGCTTGCACTTGTAAGAGGAATTGACTTTGAGTCCTCAACTTCTCACTCTGGTCTTCATCAATGCTTATTTGTTTAAAGGAAGTGTTCACCATACTAACTGGTTTCATCTCTAAATAGCCACTCTCTGAGTTTTCTTCAGATTTGGGTGCTCTAAATTTACTGATCAAGTCATTTTGCCTGATCAGCTTGCTAGTTCCATTTAAACCTGGATTTGCGATAGGAGCACTTTTATGAATTGGGAATTCAGCTTGCACATTTTTAGGTACTTGACAATTTCTTAACGATAATTGTTGTGAACTAGTGGATGTTGGAGTGCCATTGGAGAAATCGATTTCCATTAAATCACTCATGCGTACTGGACTAATGAAATTTCTTACATTTAGAAGAGGCGCACTCGTCGATTTCATTTCCTTTGGAGAATTGTATCCGAACCTTTCAGTGCATGTCTGACCATCTACGTTGCATATGCTCCCTTTATGAATGTGTCCCTTTTTTAACTTGGAGACAACACCTCGCTGAATTTCGCAACGTGGTATATTTGACTTTGATCCAACCGAATATGCTCGAACCCGCGGTGATGTATTATCGACTTCATTTATATTTCCAAGAAGTTTATTCCGTTTTAGGTGTTCAACTTTACTTCCAATTGAATAAGCTCGGCTTGGACGATCACACCTAAAATTGCAATTTTACATAAATAATAAATTCAATAAATTGTTGCATCCGCTGATGCCGACGTATACGTAATTTATTTAAAATAAAAAAAACTTGTTTCTGGATTGCTGTTCAATATATTTTATATATTATTAAGCAAATAGCCATTGGAAAGTTTACAGAAGACTTTAAAAGAGAATTTAAGAATTTAAATTTGTAGTCTTCTGATTGTTATATTAAAAATGAATCTGTAATTAAAACTTACTGGTTATCAATATCAGCGTCATGAACTAATATTTGAGATAAGTGGTCGGTAAAATCCATTTTCGAGTCTCTGTGGACAACATTGAGTAAATTGTTTAATCCTATAAAATTATAATATATATAATTTGTGTGTGAAATAATTACATTTTTGAGCTATGATTACCAGTGATTCGCGAGACTTTATTACTATCTAAAAAATCATCATCAATATTTTCTTCGGGTATCATTGCCTTGGAACTTATTGAGCTGAAAGAATGAAAATTAGTTGTTCTTTAGTGTGATTTCAATGTACTTATAAAATTGGTACACATATTAAAAGACATTTATACTTGTATAATCATTTATCTTGACATTTGGATAAGTAACAAATATATTCAAGAAGCCTCCAGTACACTATTTACGATTTCCTCCTCAAATTCAAACACTGCGTGCATTGCTTATAAATGAATTAATATGAATAAAACAAATTTTGATCTTACTTTATTCGATAAGCGTCATGCACAGATTTATCATAGGCATCGTCAATACTTATGGATGATCCTTCGCTTTCAGAGCACTTCATTGAATATGATATTGGGCTGTCAATGTTTCTTTGAATTAAATATGACCGCGTTCCCGATATCGTGTTACAGCGTTGCGCATTCTTCAATTCCACATAAGTATGATTACTGCATTCGCTCAACGTCCGACTTCTAGTTGGTAAGCTGTCGCAGCGTTCTCGTCCATAGCCTAGTAAAATATGAAGGCATTTGCGGTTTACGTAAATAAATAAAATATTGTAACTTTCAAAAATAAATATTTATTTTACTCACTGTTGTACTGCGGTGAAAAACTACTTCGTGTTTCAATAGGATTTTGACGTTTTTGTAAAACGTTAATAGGTTTAGACGCCTCATTGGCTGACGAAGATCGCTTTCTCATCGGTTCACTGCTCAGGTCCGAAACTCCTTTTTGTACATTTAAAAGATTCATATTCGACTCCGTTTTAGCAGACATTGCGCTAAAAAAATATACAAAAAATATATATATTAATACGTGAATTACATGGTAAAAAAAAAAAAAAACAAACTGCGTAAGCAGTTAGTTTATATATCTTACCTTAATATCTTATCGTGCATATGTTTAGCAACTGCTGCATCCTCTGTTTCCATCCAAAGTTCACCAGCGCCCAAAACACTCTGTCGCCCCAGTTCCATGAAAAAAATGTTTTGTGGAGACGCGTGACCACATCTGAAATAGTATTGACAGCATGTTATAATTAAGCATATATTTGCTTAATGGAACAAAGTAAATTAATATTGTTACGCACCTTCTTATCGTGTTTAAAAGTATTTCAACTTTATAAATTCGATCAACTTCATTTCCAAAGCATTCAAATGTTAGTGACTTCGATGTTAGGCAGCAATGATAGGTGCCCGTAATCCCAACACTTTCAGAAATGCCTTTTTTTTGGACAACAACTTGCCAAACATGGTCTAAAATACAAACATCATCAAGAGTAATTTAAAATTTAAATATTTAAGTTAGCTGTCTTTAAATATACTATAGTTTAAGCTGCTTTCCTGGATTACGAGTTCAGAAATAGGTATTGACGTATTTAAACTAAAAACTTACCGTACTCTGTCTGAATTCCATTTGTATTTCGTTGAATGTATAGCAAGTTAGTTAACCATTTCTTTAAGTCTTCTTCGGAATTCATGACGATTCCAAAGCCGCCATCTTTTGATGATATGGCTAAGACATACTTATGTTTGGTGTCAAGTCGTCGATTTATACTAAAGCAATCTGCCACATATATCTCTCGTTTTGGTGGTGCATTTTGAAGAAATTTCTTTTCACTATCGTAATACACCAATCTTGCTTTCTTAGTTCTTGTTTCCTTGTGCAAAACAAAATATTTCTTTTTCATTGTTTTCAATTTCTTTTGATATTCCTTTAGTACTATTCCGTTGTCTGACATGGAAGCCATCATAAATCTACCCGCCTTCCAAACCTGTAACATTCGAATATGAAAGAATATAATTATTAATATAGATACAAAACAACCATGATTATTCTTTTAAAAAATCATTCTTGATTAGCAAATTTATAGAGAAGATAAACTTTTTCAACAGTCACAACAGAAACATATAATAATAATTAATATTTCTGATCCGGTTTAGCTCTGATTGCGTTATTATTATATTAAAATATAAATGACCTCTAAATAGAGAAAACGCCGGAAGAAGGTAAATATGTATACGTATGCATATGTTTGATCTTGATCTCAACATCCGAATCTTAACTTGTACATGTCCGTCTGCGTGGGCGTTCTCAGAAACTTTTTAAAACATATACATATGTACATTCTATATTCCCTATATACTCAAGTTATTGCAAGTTAATCATATTGTTTACACATTTCACATTCCACTTATTTGACATTGATAAAAATCGAGATTTCCTTTATTTATTTATTTTTTTTTTTAACTTGACTCGAAAATAATTAGAAACCGTTTCTCATAGAAGAAACACTATTATTTATAAACATATTGCAATTAGTAGGCTTGGGCTTATGTATAGCACGCATATTTAGGCCCAAAATATCATGAAAATGGAACTACACTTTTTAGTAAATAAAAAGAAGAAAAAAAAAACACTTTACGCCGTGGAAAGAGCTAAACGCAAAAGCAAAAGCATAAAGTGCGCAGTAGGCGCCTGGAATACTTGCTAATGCGTTTCTCTGTGCGCTCTAATGCTTGATAGGTCACTTTTGCAAAGGGTATCTGCTAGTCGGACAGTACCGTTACAGCTTTCTTATTTGTTTTTTTTTTTTTTTTTTTTAATGCTTTAGCAATATTTTTTAACTTGTTTAAGGCACTTGGGGACGGACCAAAATAGTTTTGAGCCATATACGTTTCTTGTTTACCTATTGCGTGTTAAGTATTTCGTTATCAATGACATAAGTAGTTTCTGTACGGAAACAATTTGTGCGCACTGTGTTTATGCCCATTTCCAAGACACTTATAAAAAATGTTCAAAAGTCCAGCTCCAGATCTAAACAATTCACCGTAATCAATACGAAAGCAATAATAATGCAATTTGTAAATAACTTTTGAAATTCTTTGACTTGGGTGAATTACAAGCGGCAGCTAACAAAGGTCTGTACTCAACTAATTTTACATACTTTTTAGATTTGCATTATTGTTACTACGCATATGTGAATGTATTTGTATCATATTTAACATTTACACATTGTATTAGTCAACAGCATGTAAACATACATATACATATAATGAATATATACATACGTCCATAGACATACGTACGAAAGTAGGTGAATGTTTTTAAATGCTCAGCTGTAAAGATACATATGTATGTATGTATGCATGCACGAACGTACGTAAGCTATTTGATAGGACGAATTATCTATCAATTATCTAATCAATTCATGTTATTGGCATAATTGTTATTAATGTTTGCATTCCATTTTCCTTATAATGTTAGAGGCGAGTGACATACATGTGTCTTAATAACACTAATGCTCATGTTGGGGACACGTTTAGATTTAACTATGTAACTTGTTGTGGTTTACACAAATGGCAGTATAGGTGAAACCATTTTTTTTGTAGAGACGAGTTTCAATGCTTTAAATACAATTGCGCGTATAAATATTTATATATAGATGTCTGTATGCATATGGTACAAATAAATTTATATTATACATTGAGATGTATATGATATTAACTTTAGCGAATCACTTTGTACACTATATAATTATCCGATATGTAAATGAATTTAACGTTTATATATTTTCGTTATAAATAAATGCAAAATACATACTCCGAATACAATAGGCATATATTTACGTATAAATTTATAATGTAATGATTTCCGAGATATAGTGGTGGGACTACAATATATCGAATCTATCGAGGAACGTATAATAAACCATGTTGTGTCACTATTAGAGCTGTGCACTTTTTTTTGTATTAATTAAACAATAAAATTTTTAATTTACATCTGAACTCCTTTGAATATCCAACCAATTTGCCGATATTGGTCAAGGGGTCCGGATATGTTAAGCGCAAATCTTTCCATCAAAAATATGCGAGAATCACTGGAATGTTATTTAAATCTGAAGCAAAATTTTAAAGTCCGATATCCCATCCATTTCAACCATTTTGTCATTAAACTACTCATGATATAGACATTTGATCCGTGACTAACCATATAAGTAGGACTCGCGGCATCAATATACTAATGTTTCATACATTTCATAGTCCAGGTCGCATATCCTGTTATTAATGGTTTGTTAAAATATATAATAAGATTCGGGAATTAATATTTATTTCTCCGATCTTACAAAAAGCAGAAATTAAAAAATTTCAGCATCGCTTTTGATCGGCTATCACGATCACGCATTATAGCGATTACTCCGCGACTCCTCCATTCCCTTTTCACGACCGATGTGCATCGATGATACAAGCACCCAAATAAGTTTAGTTTTGCTTGTTGGCGGTAGGTAGGATAAAATATACAATTTCCATTCCATGCACAAAAACTCTCCCTGCTGAGCTTTCAACATTACAGAGCGACCAAACCACACTTTAATTTCAATTCAATTTATTTTCAATATTTAAGGACGTTCAATGAATATGATTTTAAACTTACGTACCAACAACAAGCACTAGTTTAAAACAAATTTGTTTAATGAGTTTCGTTTAAAAGCTAGAAAAAAAACGCATTTTTGTGGAGTGAGTGCTTAGAAACAAATAATAACAATTAATATTTTTCTGTAATCCAAATAATGTCTGCACTTCTTTATGAGCAGAAGAAGAAAAAAGCATACGCCATAAAATAAATTCTACATTCACAGGAATTAATTGGACTTTTAACGATCACGATTAATTACAGGCTATCGATTAGTCTGTTTTCAAAAATGATCCTTTTTATGTTTAAATACCTAAAATAGATAAATACATATGTAAACTGCGTACTAAGCTTTAAAATGTTTTTTTGTCGTTTTCAAGTGCTTAAAAAAGAGTGAAGATGATTTTAATTTATACATGATCAAAAAATTTTTTTATTCTATATATTTTTGATTATTAAGTAAGAATCGAAGAATTTCAAATTATATAAATATAGTCACAAAAAATTCTATTTATTTTAGATGTATGTAGCTAGTGAGAGTCAGAATGAATGGAGTGTTTGTATCCAATAAGAATTTTAGTTTGTTTTGGATTTGCGAACTATGCTGCACTGTAGGCTTATTATGCACAGTGCAGCAAGATTATTGTACGGAGCTATCAAAAAAGTCATTGAGCATGATTTTGGGCCAAGCCTTCAATCCTCGATATATGAGCATTGATCCACCGAAAAGCGCAAGCAACGAAAATAACCAAAATTCAGGATCGAAGAGATCCGTTTTGGATGTACCATTCTATGCTGATGATAATGTCGTTTCATTAGGCAGTTTCCCCGCTTGGGAGACAAATCATTTCTCTTATTTTGCTAAAAACGAGGAAGACTCATTGAAGAAAAAAACCATAAGCATAAGAAATGTCTTCATGGACCAGAACGGTCATGGAAAACCTGAAGTTTTCAAAACCCGGCCTTGGGAATGCTCCTCAATAATAAACTGGATCGATCTGGGCTTAAATTACTTTCCGCGCTACATTCGATCCATTGAATGCATTGCAAAAAAATGTTGGTATGGACACTTTAAATGCAAACCCAAATCATTCACCATCAAAGTGCTGCGTCGTAAGCCGGGCTCATGTATTCATATAAGCGATAAATTAATTCTCATAACTTCGGATGAATACATCAACGATTATACGCAACTCTGGATTTGGGAAGAAATCGCTGTTAATTTTTGCTGTGAATGCGTTATGTTATATTAAGATAAAATAAAATATTATTTATGGTCTTTAAAATAAACAACATTGTATTTAGTTTAACAAAAAACTTTAATAGCATTAGGCACAATTGACACTTGAATGGGTCGGGGTTCGTATTCCTCTCCGTCTATGGAGTAAAAGATTGGCTCATCACTCACTGAGGGATACAGTTTGATAGTTCTACTCTTGAGTACCAAATTAGGTTCCACAGTTTTATTCGTAATTTTTGGTATATTTTTAATGAAATCCCATCCCGGCTGCAGGGAATCAATAAATTTACTTTCCAATTCTGAAAAATTCTCCTCGTTGTGACTAAGATTAATATTAATTTGATTTGAGTTAATGCAACCACTAAGTTTTGTAGCGCAACTATCGTTCTTAATTAGTTTTTGCGTTGCAGCTCGGCTCATATTTTGAGTTTTCACGAGTTTGCTCAAAAAGAATCCCTTTGTGGGCTGATCTTCAACTTCGGCACAACAATTGCTGCAGCCAGGGCACGGCGGAGTGTAAACATAATCTGTCTTCGAGTCCCAATTGGCAGTTGCAGAAAATGATCGGAAAAATGCAGCCAGATGATGTCTCAGCGGGCCCACATACCAATATTTATCCTTCAGGGTGTCAATATCTTTCAAAAGGCCCCACGAGAAACCATTTATGCCAAAAATCGGCTTTAAACTGTTGCTGGGGCTGTCGTTCTCATTGTTGTTCTCCTCATCGAGTACATCATATTGAATGACATCGGCATATTTATATTGGTTATTTAGTAGGGGCAACAGAGCCTGACATAACGTCTTCACAAATTCCAGTTCGCTCCCAAAGTTAAAAAAGTTGAAACCAGATGCTTTTTCCCGTCCCAGCGGAAGGAGGGAAATGGGACATATCTCGCCCTGACGGCGCAGCAGTCCGGTAACCACCTCAGACTTTGTACCATCTCCGCCGGCTACAACAATAACATCTGGTAGGGCACTCATTTCCTCGACATATGTTTTGGCATGACCGATGTGGTTCGTTCGCAGTATTTCAACAGAAAAGCCAGCTAAATGCAATAACGGTTCACAGTATTTTTTGAACTGAAAACAAATTCACTAAATGAAATTCATTTCATTCACTTTTTGTGTATTAAACCTTACCAAATTTTCGGCCTTTTTTTTCTTGGCAATTGGATTCATAATCACAAGCACATTTTTTGGAAGGACATTTGTTGTTTGATTACTATGCAATACTTCATTTGATAATTTGTTCATATAAAGTTTAATGCTGAAAAGACATCCATATATGTATGTAATTTATATAAACATCCAGATAATTATTCACTTACTCTAATTTGGTTTTTATAGTGGATACTCCATATCCAACAACACATGACAGAAAAAGGCTTTTCTTCCAATTATTTCTGATCAACTTTAACGTGTTCATCCTTCCAGAAATCTTATGTAAACCAGAGCTCTACATAAACTATAAACAAAACCTTATTAATTTACTGTTCAATATACTTATGTTGTTGAACACATGATTTGCACAATGTAGCATAGAATTTACGATAAATGGAATGAAACGTGCGGTGTCTCTAAGAATGTGATTGTTGCGATATATTTAATTTGCTAGCGATTTCGATGTATCGCGAATATTACATTTACTGTCTATTCAGGAAATTCAAACAATTCGCTAGTTACAATTTTACTCTTTCGTTGGGTTTATATAAGTTATTAAAAAAGTAAAGCATTAAGCAAGTTTGCTTTTCCCATTTGTGAAAAGAAATCGGACTGGTTGATATTTAAAAATACTTCAAAGTACTTGTAACAATTAATGAGATGGGTAAATCTAGTTCATCCCTATGAAACTGAATTATTTTAGATAGTAATTCCGAAGCAGGGAAAATGGAAACGGTATATTTCAAATATTTAATAAATGTGTAAATTTAATATGTATACGAATTTAATTACTTTTATTATGTGAATACATAATTAATATGACCATTACTGCTTTCCTTTGTTTACATTTCAGTTAAAAAATTCGCCTGCCATGAAGGTGATTTCGGACATGGATGTTAAGTTAACAGACCGTTTTGTGTCCTATTTACTGCAATTTGCAACTTTTAAGTCTCTTAAGATACACTGCAAATTTCTTGAAATATCTTGTGATGGAATAGCCTGGCTTTGCACATGGGTCGCCTTCATATGGCTAATAAATTCTAAGAACCTATACCAAATGCAAGTTAATATGTTGCTTGGATTACTATTAGATATAGTTGTTGTGGCTGTACTAAAAGCACTCGTACGTAGACGACGACCCGCAGTTGTTAAGGATGCACTAGTCATTGGTCCGGACAAGTTCAGCTTTCCGTCGGGACACGCATCCAGAGCTTTCTATATTCTAATCTTCTTTACGAAATTGCATACGTTGCCAGTCGTATTTTGGATGCCGATGACTGCGTGGGCCGTTAGCGTTGTGATCTCTAGACTAATATTAAAAAGACATTTTATTCTGGACGTTAGTGCTGGTGCATTGATTGGAATATGTGAAGCACTGTTTATTGGACTAATTTGGATAAGTGAAGAAACAGCCGCTTCTCTTCTTGGGCTTATAACTGAAGACGAATCTGTTTAGCAAATAAAATGAAAAATGTCTTATAATTTTTTATTTCATTGATTAACTAATAATATTACGAACTTACGCCAAATATGATTAATTTATTCATTGTCAAAGTGATTCATCAAGTGAAGTTGTTATATTTGTTATCAAACTTTGTTGCTCACATAAATGTTCTTATCCGAAAACAAATAAGATTGTGAGAGCAGCAGAGAAACTTTATTTAAGAGAGCGTTTCGTGGTATACCTTAGATTAGGTTAAAGGTCAATTGAGATAATTTTTTTACTTTTAGACTGCATCACATATTTAGAGTTTTTTAATAAAACGATAAAAGCAATTTGCACATTAAACAGTATGATTTTTATTTCTTGTTGTTGTGATTATTATAAATATTAATAAAGTGTTTGTATTGTTGATAGGCGTAAGGCTAAATAACTGTCCTATTAACAAATTATTTATGCTCTATCGGTTAACATTGTGCGCCTCATAATCCATGACTTCTTCATAGATGAGCTCCTTCCACTGCTCAACAGTATGCTCTCGTTCATCGACGCTATGATCATATGGCTCTGGAGCAGGCTATTTAAAAAGAAACAAATATAACATGTATTAAATATTATTAAATATATGCTATTATTATACTATAAATTGCTTAAGAGATAATGGGAAACCAGATGAGGCTATCATGCCAAAAGTTCAAATGATATAATACCTTTGCTTTTAAAATATATACTAATTCTATATTCAAGTATTTAATTTTCATATATCTAAGTAGATATATATTATGTAAAATGTCACTTTTATATAATTAAAAATATAGTTTCTTTTATGAATTCTTTATAGTATACAAAATTTTTTAATATATTATAATTTAGAGTTTTTTAAATTTAGTATATCAAATACTTACAGCATCAACTTCTTCGGCGTCATACCATACATTAATGTATTCATGCTGTAAAGCTCTATCCACTGATATTCTCTGTTCAGGGTCAATTACTAGCATCTTGCTAAGTAAATCCCTTGCCTCAGAAGCCTTTCTTCGGCTATTTTGACTATTATCGTTAGGAAACAGACCATCAGGAAAAAGCCTATCAAACGCATATCCAGTATATCTTGGACGATTCTCAACGTAATTGCGAACAGTTGGCTGCAGACGCTGCATAAATGATGGGGACGGTGTGCCCAATTGCTCTGTAATTTACAAATTTAAATAGTTATATATTGAACAAGTTCTTAATTAGCTGTCTCTTCTTGTTTACCAATTATTTTATTCCACTGATCAATGTGATCAGTTCCAGGAAAAAGTACTCCACCTCTAATCATCTCACCCATAATGCATCCCACTGACCAAATATCTACATTTTCGGTATATCCCATACCTAAAATGACTTCTGGGGCTCTATAATATCTAGTTACGACATATGGAGTCATCATAAATGTAGTTCCAGCTGTGCGTGCAAGCCCAAAGTCCAATATCTTTAGAGTACAGTCGGCCTTAACAACTATATTGGAAGGTTTTAAATCCTGTAAAAACATAAAATGTTTGGTTTAAGAATTTTGACAAATAATAATATCATATTCAACTATCTATTATTTGAAACAAAAGAACGAACACGCTAAACAATACTTAACTCTATGTATAATTCCAGCGGAATGCAAATGCTTAATTCCACAGAGCATTTGGTATAGCAAATAGGACATTCTGTCATGGTCCAAATCCATTTGAATAACCTGACATAAATTAGCATCCATTAGCTCCATCACAAGATAAACATCCTGAAACTCCTCCAAATTGCGTTGGGGAGTGAACGCATTGAGCAAACCAATGATCTAAACAAATGCATACATATGTTAAGACATTTCATTTTCAATTGTAAATTGTAAAACAATACTTACATTTTTATGGTTCACTAACTTCATTAGCTTAAATTCTCTGTAAGCTCGCTTAGCGTGTGTCACATTTTGGAATGGGCGAGACAGTTTCTTTATTGCGACATTTTGCTCGGTAACCGTGTCATAGGCAGCACTGTAAATGTATTAAAATTGGTCTTTGTGAAGTGATTCAAACGATAAACAAATATTATGTATATGCTATTTTATATATTTGTTTTAATTTCAGTTATTATAAATAGAATTATCATAGTATTCTTGTATATAAATCAAATTTAAAATGTTACTTCTAGAAGTATACTTCAACATTCGGTGCCTCGATTATTATTAATTTTTCTCTTTTTACTTACCACACAATGCCTTGAGCACCAGATCCAATAGGCCTTAATTTAATATACCGACTAAGAATTGTAAAATTGGTATCGCCCACTTCCACGGTATAATGATGAGCGGCCATAGTCAATACGTTATATTAATATTAGTGTTAAATACAACTACTGACCATTTCGACCTGAAATAAAATAAAAATATATTTTTCAGAATATCAGACATATTTCACTTTAATAATAACATATAAGTGAATTCAGAATATCTCTTAGTCGGGCATAC